TTGTCTCTCTTGTTTTTTATTTTCCCAAATTGACCAGATAGTCATGAAGATCGTCCCAATTCGTTCTTTTTATTATCTTGCCTGTATGTTTCTTTAACAAAAAAGTCAATTCGTCCATGTCCTTTATTTCTTTGATTTTCTCCACCCATTCTTTCATTTTTTTGGCAGTACAAATTATATATATGCAGTGTGCACAGGAATTCGTCCAGGTTTTTCTCAAAATATAGTCCGGCCCCCCAACAATCGGAGGGACAGTGAACCGAACCTCTGCTTCAAAAGTTTAAGGACCCCTGATCTAGTCATTCCATCAAGTTTAAGCAGAAAGAGAGAAGGAAAATCAGCATTTTGCTCCACTAAGCTTTGCCTTTCTCCCAGTTGTCACTTAGCAGCCATTTCATCTGGTTTTAAACCAAAAGCAGGGCCTTTTCATGGGCTCAGGTGTCCCATCAATATTTTTTTGGCTCCCTTCCTCTTTGGACCATTTCTTTCACAACACACCTTGGTAAACTGACCACCAACTTTCAAGTGCCTCACAGCCATTCCAGCTGGTTTTTATTAAGACTTCCTAACATTAGGAACCGGTGCCTGATTCTTCTTATTCCTTTCCAATTTCTTTTTGTGCAATGTATTTTTAGATTGGAAACCACAGGGAAGCAATAGTCTTCTCTTTATTGATCTGTAAGCTGTTCTGGGAGCACTTCTGGCTGAAGAACACGATACAAATGCTTTACACAAATGAACAAAACATTTGATTACTTTGGCATTATTGAGGAAGAGGGATCTCCAAAGTATGTTCATAATTCATAGGATAACTGATCCACAATCTATTGTTTACTATATTTATGTCCAAGGAGCAACATGGGTATAATGTTAAGAGCAACATTTGCTATAATTCACTCAAAAACAAAACGAATACAAAGCAATACTTGTCAGTATCACAACATGTTGCGGGGGAAGGAGTTTAACCCTTTCATCCCCTGCTGTTCTGCTCAAAACATCCCCCCTCCATGTCTCCTATTAGTTGTGAGATGGAACAGCAATTGATGCATTTAATTCACATCTAATGTGTCTCAGCTCAGCTCAACTCTCAAATTAATTAGTTATTAGGT